ATGCCACTGCACTCCAGCCTGGGCGACAGAGTGAGACTCCAACTCGAAAAAAAAAAAAAACCCTAAATGTACAGGCTGGGCAACATGGTGAGACCTTGCCTCTACAAAAAATAAAAACAAAAAAATTAGCCAGGCCTGGTGGCACAAGTCTAGTCCCATTATTTGGGAGGCTTAGGCAGAATAGCCTGAGCCCAAAGGGTTAAGGCTGCGGTGAGCCATAATTGTGCCACTGCACTCCAACCTGGTTGACAGAGTCCTGACTCACCCCGACTCAAAAAACCCCAAAAAACCGAAAACCTAAATGTAAAAGGCAAAACTATAAAATCTGTAGTAGGTAATATAGGAGAGCATTCTTTTTTTTTTTTTTTTTTTTTTTGAGTCAGTGTCTCACTCTGTTGCCCAGGTTGAGTGCAGTGGCATGCTCACAGCCACCTCAGCCTAGACCTGCTGGGCTCAGGCGATTCTTCTGCTTCAGCCTTTCAAGTAATTGGAACTACAGGTGCACACCACCACACCCGGCTAATTTTTTTATTTATTGTAGAGACGAGGTCTCTCCAAGTTGCCTAGGCTGATCTCGAACCCCTGGATTCAGGCAATCCTCTCGCCTCGGCCTCCTAAAGTGCTGGGAATACAGGCTTGAGCCACCACGCTCGGCCAGAACATCTCTTTAACCCTGGGTTATAAGAGAACTCTAAAGATAGGCACTAACCATAAAGGAAAAGATAAATTTGGCTACAATAAATCAACAACTCTTGTTTACCAAAAAATATAATAAAAGAGAACAAAAAGATGAATTTTCATTACTGTCATCTCTTGTCCTGTGCTCTTGTGATATGCCGTTATAAAAATCCCTTTATTAAGCCGGGCTCAGTGGCTCAGCCTGTAATCCCGCGCCTTTGGAAGGCTGAGGTGAGCGGATTGCCTGAGCCCGCAGGTTCGAGACCCGCCTGGGCAGCGAGACCTCATCTCTACAATAAATCAAAAAATCAGCCGGGCGTGGTAGTACGCGCCTGTAATTCCGGCTACTCGGAAGGCTGAGGCGGAAGGATCACCGAAGCCCAGCAGGTCAAGGCTGCAGTGACCGGGAGGGGCCACTGTACTCCAGTCTAGGCGAAGGAGTGAGACTCTAACTCAAAAAAAAAAAAAAAATCCCTTTATTGCCGGGCTCGGTGGCTCAGCCTGTAATCCCACGCCTTTGGGAGGCTGAGGTGAGTGGATTGCCTGAGCCCACGGGTTCGAGACCCGCCTAGGCAGCGAGACTTCATCTCTACAATAAAAAAAAAAAAAAATCAGCTGGGCGTGGTAGCGCATGCCTGTAATTCTGGCTAGTTGGAAGGCTGAGTCGGAAGGATCGCCAGATCCCAGCAGGTAGAGGCTGCGGTGGCCGGGAGCGGCCACTGCACTCCAGTCTGGGCGACAGAGTGAAAAAATTTTTAAAAATTAAAAAATTAAAAATAAAAATAAAAATCCCTTTATTGTCATTTTCATGGGATTTCCAGAGGAAATGGAGGTAAATAAATGTGTAAGATCTGGCATTCTTAACCACAATGTTAAACCACTTTTTTAAGATACAAGGTCTCAGGGCAACCCCTTCGGTCCCCTCCCACTGTGGGAGCTTTCCTGTCCTTTCAATAAATCCTGCTTTCTCACTTTAAAGAAAAAAAAAAAGATACAAGATCTCATTCTGTTGTCCAGGCTGGATACAGAGGTATGATCATAGCTCCCGCAGCTTCAAACTCTTGGGCTCCAGGGACCATTCCACCTCAGCCTAAGCAGCTGGGACTATACGCACATCCCACCATGCCCAGCTAAACAAAATTTTCTTGTTATGTTGCCCAGGCAAGTCGCAAACTCCTGGCCTCAAGCAATCCTCAGCCTCCTGAGTAGCTGAGATTATTTTTTTTTCCCATTCTCCCTCCCCCAACCTCCTCCTTCGCCTCCCTTCCTCCTCTGGCCCACTGAAGTACCAAAGGTAAGACACTAGAAACTTTTTTTTGTGTGTGTGTCAGAGTCTCACTGTCTCCCAGGCTGGACTGCAGTGGCACAAATCATGGCTACCACAGCCTTGACCTGCTGGGTTTAGGCGATCCTTTCACCTCAGCCTTCCAAGTAGCTGGAACTACAGGGGTGTGTCACCATGCCCTGCTAATTTTTTGATTTATTGTAAAGATAAGATCTCACTATGTTGTTAAGACTGGTCTTGGATCCCTGAGATCAGGCAATCTTTTTGCCTCCCCGTCCCAAAGTGCTAGGATTACAGGCATGAGCCACCATGGTTGGTTAGAAACTTCTTTAATGAAAAAAAGACCTGATAACATTTGTGCTAGTTATATTTTCTCTAATATACATAAAAATAAAAAATAATGCCAGGTGCAGTGGCTCATGCCTGCAATTCTAGCACTTTGGGAGGTGGCGCTGAGAAGATTGCCTGAGCCCAAGGTTTGGAAACCAGCCTGAGCAACATGGTGAGACCTCGTCTCTACAATAAATAAAAAAATTAGCCAGGTGTGATGGCGCACGCCTACAGTTCCATCTGCTTGGAAGGCTAAGGCAGGACTGCCTGAGCCCAGCAGGTTGAGGCTACAATAGCCATCAGTATGCCACTACATTCCAGCCTGGGCAAGAAAGTGAGATTAGGACTCAAAAATTAAAATTAAAATTAAAAAATAGCCAGGAAAGTAGTCAGGTGCAGTGGCTCACACCTATAATCCCAGCATTTTGGGAGGTCAAGGCAGGGGCAGATTGCTTGGGCCCAAGATTTTGAGACTAGGCTGGGCAACATAGTGAAACCTCGTCTCTACAAAAATAAAAAAAAAATTAGCTGATATGGTCATATATACCGCACCTATAGTCCCAGCTACTCAGGATGCTGAGGTGGAGGGATCGCCTGAACCCAGGAGGTTGGGGCTGCCATGAGTCATGATCGTTGTGATCATGCCACTGAGCTCCAGCCTGGATGACAGAGTGAGACCCTAACTAAAAAAAAAAAAAAAAAAAAAGCCAGGCGGGTGGCTCAAGCCTGTAATCCCAGCACTTTGGAAGGCTGAGGTGAGAGGACCGCCTAAGCCCATGGGTTCAAGATCAGCTTGGGGCAACATGGTGAGACCTCGTCTCTACAATAAATCAAAAAATTAGCCAGGTGTGGTAGTACCTACCTGTAGTTCTGGCTACTTGGAAGGCTGAGGTAGAAAGATCACCGGAGCCCAGCAGGTTGATGCTGGGGTGGCCGTAAGAGTGCCACTGCACTCCAGCCTGGGCGATGGAGTGAGACTCCAACTCCAAAAAAAAAAAAAAAAAAAAGGCAGTAAAATAAATATTTGCCTATGTACTTCCTCAAATTATCTCATGAACTCTCCAGTCAGTGATTCCACACTCAGGGAAGCAGTTATCCTATATTTCCACACCCAAACCCTTTTTGTGGAAATCTGATGCATCCCTTTCTAGAAATTCCCTGGAATTATCTCTAGTTAATCTTCTCAGTAAGAGAAATCATTTTCTACTGGTGCCTGACCCTAGAAGTAGAAGAAGAATGATTTTTGTTTTAGAAGTAGAACAAAAAATTAAGAAGTAAGGAGAATTATTTTGGGGGTCAAAATAATTTGGGAAGTCCTCGAAGGTTCTAGAAAATGAAATTGTCTTGGCTGGGCGTGGTAGTTCACGCCTATAATCCCAGCACTTTGGGAGGCAGAGGTGGGAAGACTGCCTGAGCCCAGGGGTTTGAGACTAGCCTGGGCAACATGGCGAGACCTCATCTCTACAAAAAACCAAAAAATTAGCTGGATGTGGTGACATGTGCCAGTGGCTCCAGCTACTTGGAAGGCTAAGGCATAAGAATCGCCTGAGGCCAGCAGGTTGAGGCTGCGGTGGTTGTGATTATGCTACTGCACTCAGCCTGGGAGATAGAATGAGACTCCAATTCAAAGAAAAAAGAAAAGAAATAGCCTTGACAAAACCAAGACCAAGGAATTAGCATAAATAAAGGTTTTTTTATTGGCCAGTTTGGGTGAGTGACATACTGACATGCTCCCAATTCACCGTTTCACATCTCCAAGCTCCTGAGGTGGCAGGAGACGGAGCTGAGCTTATTGATGGTGGACAATGGGTGGAGGTGGAAAGAATCCAAAGGCCTCTGGGGGTTGGTTTAACAAGGCTACCGGGACCGGAACCAACGTCCTAGGAATAAATCCAGGATGGAAAAGGCATCATCTAGGGTTGGTGGTCTTGGTGGTTCTGGATCTAAGGAAGAAAGTCATACAAATAGATAAGCTAAATGACAGAGAATGGGCAGAGGCAAAGGAGAGAAACCATATTAAAAGGTAAAAGAAAGACTCCCTACCCCAAGGAGTCTTAGGATGGAACCCTCTGAATCACTCTTAACTTACCACTTCTAGGACTGCTATCTGCCTCTTGTCGGGTTACTGTGGTCTCTCTGTGGCCCTCACTGTCCACCACAGTCCGATGCTCTTCTACCACCTGCAAGGAAACATCCCCACCATATTCCTAACATCACTAAAGGTTATGTCCAGTGGTTTCTCTATAGAGACTCCTCTTTCCAAGGCAGTCCATGGTGTTTTCTTTACCCCTCTCTTTCAACTCACCCCGTCTGGCTTAGTAATCTTAGTCACAGAGATGCTCTTGAAATAAGATTTGGGCTGGGGCTGCAGAACTGGGCCAAGACCCTCCTGGGAAACCCGCGAATCAAGATCTAGAAGGGCAGAGAGATGAAGAACCAAGAGAAAAAGAGTACAAGAATAAAAGGTGAGAAGAAACTTCGGGGGGAAGAGGGGTAGAATAGAACTGCTGAAGACTAACAGAGGGCTGGTAAACACTCCCTCTTCCAGACTCACCATTGTCCTCTCTGGCTCTGGGATGGGGGGTCACAGGCCACACATCATCAAACTGCAGGATAAGCCACAGTAGGAAAAAGACATCTTCCAATCTGAAACTCGGAAGGTCACAGACCCCAAGATACTCCCAAGCTCCATAACTGCTTTCCCAGGAGAAAGAATTCCATTCTGGATAACTCTATTTACCCATTCCTTCTTTCTTCCTGGCTGTTTATGTATCCTTCTACCAAAAAGTGTTCCTAAACTGACACTTTCCTATCCTCCCTAAACAATCCTGCTTGATCCAAGAATCACCTAGACCAGTGATTTTTGTTTGTTTTAAATTTTATTTATTTTTATTTTAAAGATGTGAGGTTGTTTTGTTTTTAAAGAGACAGCAGAACACTGATTTCTTTTCCCCCAAAGAAAATTCTACAAGAAGCTTAATATAGAAAACACATATATACTAAGTGGAGGGCCTAGGATTCCAACCTCAGTCTATCAGATTCAAACAAGGACTACAATCTTTGCACTTAGTGTCTCCCACAGGCTCTCACTTGAGGCCCAGATGGGGTACTCACCCTATGAAAAGGTCTCTGGGAGCCCCAGTCTGGCGCTGGTTTTGAGGATTCGGTTCTTGCATCACTCTCCGAGACCCCCCCAAAGATCCTGGGCTGGTGACTATCTGGATACTTAAGCATTGAGTCCCGAAGTGTCTGTCCCTCCTGCAGTCTCTCACCAGGTGTCTCTGACTGGGGACCTGGAAGTTCTACAGAAAGGTGACAGGTGGATGCTGAGGTGGGAAAGGACTAGTTGGACTCCTTCCTTTTTTTTTTTTTTTTGAGAAGTGGTCCTGCTCTGTCATCCAGGCTGGAGTGCAGTGGCACGATCTTGGCTCACTACAGCTTCAACTTCCTGGGCTCAAGAGATCCTCCTTCTGCCTCGGTCTCCCAAGTAGCTAGGACTAGAAGTGCACATCACCACACCCAGTTCATTTTTTTTTTAAATTAGGACTTGGGTTCTTTTAAAACTCCCTGAAATCACCAGTCTTCTCACACTTCCCATCCCCCAACGACTCCCTGCTGGCTCTGTATTTCACCCACCAACCCACTAGAAACCACGGGTTCTCCCTCAGGGAAAGCCACACACCAGGAGGATGGGAAGGCAAGGTCCAGGCCCCCATCTCGCTGAAGATGCTATTGAAATCTCGTACTAGGTCATCAAAGCCGAAGTTATCGTGGAAACGCATCCCTCCTCCTGGGCTGAAGCTGAAGCCGAAGCCAAATTCCTCAGAGGGATGGGGACCATCAAACCTTGGGCTTCCATGGCCCCATGTGCCGCTTTCTTCTTCTTCCTCATCATCCTCATCTTCATCTCGAGTCATCCCTCCAAAAAAGGGATCTCTGTGGCTGAGAGTGGAGGCAGATTGGCCACCAAGATTTCAGCACTACTTAAGCCACACCATCAACTCATGGGTGGCAAAGCGGGACAAGAGCAGGGGTTCGGAAGGCTAGGGAGAGGGTTGAAGGACTGGCCGTCAAATCAAAACATAACAGCTGACAGCTCTTTCTGGTTTGTTTTTATCAAAGTCAGTCCTCACCTCGCAACTCCCCGAAACACCTCCCCCCAGTTCTCTTTCCACCCCTCCCCTCTCCCCCAACGTCCTGCTCATCTGCTTATTGGCCTCTTTCCCAGACCCCATTGTCTTCCCCGCCTGGGTCCCTGTTGCATCACCCCGAGCTGGAGAAAGGTTTAGGTTGCTGTTTCTCCTCTTAACGACCGGCTTGGCTACTGTTGTGCGGTGAGTGCTTAATGCTGCGACTTCTGCTCTCTCCACAGGCGTTGAAGGAGTGGAGAAGATGCGTTCCCCAAAATAGCGTGTACGGGGCCAAGCTCCCCCCCAGACCAACCCGCCTTTGTCCGACCCGGGCCTACTCTCACCTCCGAGGTGCAGGAAAGCCAAAAAAGCCCCGGAAAAGGTCAAAGAGGCTCATTCCCGAATTGGGACTCGAACCTTTGAACCCCGCCAGCGGCCATTCGCCCCAGCCTGCGCGGCGCTGTCGGAAGTGAGCGAGGCGTCATCCACGCTGCCGGAAAGCAAGCCCGCGAGGTGTCGTAAAACGACGGTAAAGCTGGACGCTGGAATCAGGGCGGGTGGCTTTTCACCAATTTGAATAGCTTTATCTCCCCCCACCTTTCGGAGACCAGTTTCCTTCGAGGGGAGTGGACGTGACGAACTCTCATTTTCCAAGGACCACCTTTTTCCTAAGTCGATTCTCCTTCCTGCTACACAATCAGGCCCAAAAAGGCGCTTGGAAGGCTTGACTCTGGACGTACCAGATGCAGCCACCAGGGGGCAGCACAGCCGCGCCAGCCGAGGACCCGCCTTCGTCCCGCTTGCCACACCCGGGCCAGCCAGCCGGACAGCAGAGCCCCCTCGACCCCTTCCTTGGTTCTGTTTGTTTCTAGACTGGCCTGGGTGGTGTCTACTAGAGGGATGGACAAAACGTCTTACCAAGATCCTTTGAGCACTGACTTCTGCAGAGTTAAAGGCATGGGGACACACAGACCTAGCGTCCTCCATCTCCCTAGCTACTAGGTCATAACCCATAAAGGATTCTTTTAAGCTTCTTAAACAGACTCTGCAACCAGCAAGACAAAGGAAAGTAAGAAAAGGGAAGCCAGTGAAGAGTCCTGGGAGGGAACAGAGAACTGGGAAGTATCTTTTTCATACCACTTTTACAGCCTCTCCACCCACCTGTCCCTCCCTGTGTACCCCGTTCCCATGCCAGACCCTGCTCTAGACCCCTCCTTTTCAAGGGATTGGGATGCTATGTCACATGAAAGCATCCAAGAAGGAAGAACTCCTGTAGTCCAATACTAGAGGGAAAGGGGCCCCAAAGCTCTAGCATGTGCCGCCCGCACTTCTTAATGTACTTGCCTAGACCGAACTAAAGTCAAACTTACGCCTCCATAAAGGCACTTTTATTCTTTGAAATTGTATCGCCTCCACCTTAATCCTCCCCAACCTTTTCACCCAGTCTCCTCTATCCTTTTTCTTTTTTTTTTACTGCCTGAACTCTGCTGTAGATGTAGCAGTTTCTGAAGAAAACGAACATTTGTGATGGTTCTTTCCAGTCACCGGGTTGTGAAAGTCTTAGGGATGAAGGGAAGGGAAGCCCCTCAAAGACAAGATACTACTAGCACATTAAGGTCAGAGTAGTTCTTAAAGGGCGAAGATTTCATTTTATTCCACTGCCTTCCGGGGCCTGCTAGAGGAGGCGGTTGGTATGGTAATACTTATTCACCAAGCTGGTCACCGACGAGACTGAGGATGTCCTAGATGGAGCAAGAATGGGCAGAGGCTGAAGGTAGAGGTTTTCTTTTTATATATACAAGACACATTAATCCATTAAATTTGAGGACACAGTACAAAAAAAAAAAAACACTTCAACTAATTCATCTGACAATGCTGTTCATATTCATGACGCCTTTTTTTGTTGTTGTTTTGTTTTCCTAATAATAAAGAAGACTTAGGGCTGTTGGGCTGATATATATTTAGGGGTCCCCCCTCCCCACCTCACCCATACACCACCAGGGTGAATAGGAGGAAGCAAAGGAAGGGCAGGGCCCACAGCAAAGTTTCATAATCTTGAATGCAAGGGGGAGGAGGAGGGAGGAAGAGGGAAGGAAGGAAAAAAAAAGGAGAAAATACAAATCCTATAATACATACAACAGGGTGGGGATGGTATGGGAATGGGACAGACATGAAGCTGAGGCATGGGATGGGCCGCTGGGGGTGGGGGGTGGCAGAACCCCCCCCCCCACATTCCTTTCTCTTTGATGCTGTTTCCATAGTTTCCAGGCTGAGAAGCCCTCTCAGAAGATGGGACCAGGAGAAGAGGGTCAGGGCCTCAGTTGGCCCCCCAGCTGTAGCTGTTGTAGGCAGACTTGTTGGTCTGGGGCTTCTGCGGGATGGAGCTGGTCTGGCTACGTTGCCCGCTGCCCGTCTGCAGGGGAATGGGAGGATGATGGGGAGGAAAAAGGTGTCTAGTTAGTGGTACTCATTGGAACATCTGTAGGTGGAGCTGTGCAAATTGTCTTGCTCTCCTGTTTCCCTTATTTCTGTTAGTTCTTGGCCATAGACAATGTGGTGTACATAGCTGCTAGGGCCCCTCTTTTAAAAAAGAAAGAAGGTATGTTTGACCTTTAAGTAGGGAAAAGATGAAGAGAGAGCAAGATACCTTTGGAAACAACAGTGAGTCAGTTCCACTCATTTCCAGTTCTGTCTTCTCCCACCACCCTACCACCCTTCCCCTGCTCCTGGAGATGAGTGATCACAAAGTGATTTCATTTTCAGTGAACCCCATGAATGCCTCAATTTGGATGCTGTCTCCGAGAGCAAGGAATCCCTTATTCCAGCTCCAGCTAACTGTGATGGAGCTCTCAAGAGGCCACTTGCACCAACCCATGGATCCCCAACCCCACTGCACATCTCATCTGTGAGCCCATTTCAAGCAAGGCAGGAGAGACAGTCTGAGGCCTCAGGCTCCAGAAGCTGCCCCAAGAATCTTTTCTGTTCCAGTAACCAAGTGTTTTCCAGAGCTTGGAGAAGGGTAGAAAGATAAAGAGGGTGTTGGGGAAGGGATGAGGAAAGAGGAAGGGGAGGCCAGAGAGCTCAGCAAGGTGTTTGTGTTTGTGTATCCCGATTTGTGACCGCGCAGTCTTTTCAAGTTCCCTGAGGCTGTGGAGGTGAAATGGGGACTGAAAAGGAGTGGGTTCAAGCATATCATCATTCAATTTAATTACCTGCTCCTCCTGCTGGCGCTGGCAACAGAGAATCATCTGCAAATATGGTAGCTGAGGCAGAACCAGGATATATGGAAAATAAAGGGACAAACTTTGACAATAGAACTCCATCATTAGAAGGGAATTATGTCAGGGAAGGGGAAAGGCTGGGAGAGGTACAAGGGGAGGTGTGACCCAGGTCTGATGGGATGAGGACAGCTGTGGCATGGGAGGAAGTGAAGGACAAAGGCACCAAAGGAACTGGGCAAAAAAGGTTCAATCTGGCCCCTTCTCTGACATTTCCTTTGCCGGCCGCTTGTGTTATGTGCGCTTGTGTCTGTGTGTGCTGTGTGCCCATGGCTGGCGCTGGGGAGGGACTGGGTGAAGGTGGTGGTGAGGAAGGGTAAGAAAAGGAAAGGGGAGGTAGTTTTAAGGGATAGGAAGGAAGAGGAAGGGAAAGGAAAGAGGGGGAAGGGCTATTACCTGGCCATCCTGCTGCAGGTGATGGTGAAGGATCTGGGAGTGCGGCTGCTGATGGGGGGTCAGAATGTGCATAAAGGGGGCAGGTGGGTAGGCAGCAGCTGTGGCCGGATTGATGGGCCCCCCACTTCCTAGGGCTGAAGGCAAGTTGAAGGAGGCAGCAGGAGTACCGGAATGAAAACCTTGTTTCTCAAAGGACTGCTACCCAGGAGGCCAGGAGAAGAGAGAGTAAAAGGGATCAGCAAACGAATCTTGGGAATTTATATTCTGAGTCCAAGCTTCCCTACCCGCACAAAGTAAGCATGGTGTCACAGAAGGATATTTAGGTCTTAGTCCCAGCTGTGCTTTTTAATAGCTGCATGATCCTGGGCAAATTATTCCATCTCTTAGCCTCAGTTTCCTCACATATAAAACAGGGAAGCTACTGACCTCTGTTGTAAGAATCAAGTGAGAGGATGTATGTGAAAGTACTTTGTAAAATTGAATGTCATCTGTAAGCACTGTGAAATTTACTGACTGATCTTGGCATCCATGCCCCTGGTGTTGGGTGAAAATTAGAACTCCTTGGCTATTTCACAAGAAATAAATACACACTGAGACATCTGAAGTGTTGATGGTCTTGGCCATGATGCACTCTCCCCCACACCACCAGTACTTTATAGCAAACTTGACTCATAAAGGATGGGATAAACTAGCTTCCCTTCCTTCATTCCTATACTCACTCTCTGGGAAAGTTATGAGAAAGGTTGAGAGTAAGGCAGGTGAAGGGCGAGAAGAGTTGCACAGTAAATCACCTGACATGTTACAACAATTTGCCACACCTCACCTTCCAATTATTCCATTTCTCTTGTCTTCCTTAAATTTAAACTTATGAGAGAAACTGAAGTCTAGAGAAGACCATTCATTTAGAAAGGGGAGGATGGATTTCCTGAAACCTCTCCTAGCACTGATGTTTTCCACTGTATTTCTACCATTGCAACTGCACCTTCTCTATGTCCATCTCTCTTTTTCCACTTCTGTCCAGAGCCAGGTACCTACCTGGGTTTTGGAGTACACAGAACCCGAGATATCTGGCACGCCCGTGTTACTGGAGGTGACTGATACACCTGGGGGAGGAGGAAACAGACAGGAGGATTAGCTCAGCTAGCTGCCTGGTCCCTATTCCTGGGATGAGGTGGTATCTGTAGCCTTTCTAGCTATACCACTGCAAGGGAATTTGGATCTGTTTTTCCAGGTTCAGGTTAGTTCTGAGGGGTAAGAGTTCGTGACACAAAGTTGTCCTAAGGTTCTTTTGCCCTTTCCAAGGTGTGTGTTGAGGATACGTGTGAGAAAGTAAGGTGAGTTGTCTTTTGGGGGGCAGGGGGATACAACCAAACCTTACTGCATATACAAGTTTCAAAACACTTCTGTGCCAAAGCCCAACAGGAAGGAAGGTAACCATTTAAGTTTAATGTCCATTTCAAATTAATCCAGCCAAACTCTACTTAGTCCTGCCCCTAAGATTCAGGTAGTCTGGCTCTCTCTTCCTAAAGAGATATTTTTGGGCTCAAAATCCATGCCTCCACAGCCTCAGGTAAGTATTAGAGGGGGCAGTCCAATTTAATTCTTAAGAGCACTTTCAGTCATGGAGCCTCAGCTTACTTAGACCAGTTTCTGTAGTCTTGGAGCTTCTAGGCTCCGTACTTATAGATTTAAAGGGCTGGCACAAAGATGAATTTCCACTTATACAACTTAAGCCTAAGCATGGGTGGGAGGGACAGGAAGATAGACAAGAGTACGCTATTTTCTATAGCCTAAGTGAAACACAAAATCCAAATGTTATTTTCAGTTTACAACTTCTGCTTCTCCATGAGATAAAAGCTCTAATCCACACCCTAACTCCCATGTTTCTTGTTGAAAAAACCCCCTACCACTACAACTTTAAGGAAACTATAGTAGTACAACTCCTCATTTTAACTTGTACTCTTCGAACAAATACAGACACTACACTCTAGCACCTGAGGTATGGGGAGGACAATGGGTCCAGGAGACAGGAAAAGCTATGGGATAAATAACCCAGCATCATTTAAAGATTTGAGGAGAATTTAACCAGGAATTGAAAGCATGGTTTTCAAAAGATATATTAGTTCCTATGACAATAAAATCAAGCTTCCAAAACTTTGCATTTCTGTCTATGCCCTTGGATCCTTCCCCTCAGAGGTACACATTTCTTCTGTTAGGAGCACTCTGATAGAAAAGTTTTTTAGAATACTGTACTAGAGCGACCAAACCACAAATAGGGAATCCTCCGTTTACCTATGACTCCACAGCAATCCCCCTTCAAACTCCAGAACCCACATCTTCCCAATGTCAAACACAAAGGCAGCCTTCAAAACTTAAGCCCATCTTGGACAGCCACTTCAAAAAACTTAATAAAAGGGGCATTTTAACCAGGAGACCATCCCATATCATAAGTCTAGATAGTTCCTAGGAAGGGCAAATACCAACAGGAATAAGAACAGAACTACAGAAACCAAGCAAGAGAAAATACTTCCCTATCTCCAAGGTATTCTCTACACTTTAAGGGCACTGATATAAAAAGAAAGGAACAGTACAAGAACCTCTTAAGGAGTTAATAGGGTATTTTTTCCTTTCTCCTTTCAAACTCCAGGTGCCTATCTG